ATGTAAGTGTATTACACTGTATTACAAATGCCCATATATAACCTCCTTGGTTCAACATCTTTTGACTATTTGTATGTATTCAAAATATATATAGGTTTCATTTGCCCACGTTCTTACAAAATTGTAATGGAATTGCCTTTCTCCATTTTTGGCCAATAATTTTTCTTTTGTCGACGAACAAAAGAACGTGACTCAATATTAACACAGTTCATTGATGAATTTAGTAGCTACTTGTAAAAACCAAAATTACCATTGGTTATCATCAATCCGTGATCCCATATTCTCATGTGCATGCGCATGCATAAAAGCTTTTCATTTCTTTGGATATCCATTGCCTCTTCAAGGGCATGACGCTATCTCTTCCAGGATAGTCATAATTGAGAGAATGTGGATCATAACCTCCTCTTGAGCGTTATAGAGCTTGGATTTTCTCCACTTCGGGAGTTGAGTCTTTGGAACCTATACATCTATCATGCTACATGCATGAGACATCAATATTCCCATGTCTGTGGATTGTCCTATCTGGGACGTGTATCCATGCGGCGACTGTCATGCTTCTGGCATGCAACAGTTATGCTTCGGGAATGCAATAGTTCAGTAGTGCCATATTATTCTTCTTTCGAATAACTGAACCTTTTGAGTCTAAAAAATCTGCCACGCTTCAGGCGTGCAACAGATAAATCATTTACTGTCTCATTATTTTTATCCAACAGAGACATCAATTCTTGTAGGCACATTTGCAGTAAGTATATATGATTTCATCACTTTTCGTTGTATCATTCAATTATCCATATTTCATTTTCTCATTGATTGCTTCGTGAATCAAAATAAGACAAATTCTCTTCGTTCTTCTGGAACGGTCTTTTCTCATCATTCTTTTGGAATGATATTTTTCTCATCGTTCTTCTGGAACGATATTATTTTCTCCCCCTAATGGCAGGAAAATTGTCTTATCAAAAATGACAGTCCGCAAAACCATGCGGTAAACATATCCCCAATCAAGAATTCCAAATATTGAATGATAGATGGTGTTCAACTTCAATGCCTAATCTGCAATGATGCCTCATTTCAGTACGTTGTGGCAGTCTTACAGGCACATAGACAACACAACCAAAAACTCGTAAATGTATAATGTTTGGTTGGTTCCAAACCCGAGTTGTACTGAGAAGTATTGATGGTCGGTAACATGTCTCAACCGAATTAATAATGCCATCATGTAAAGTTTACATGTCCCCATTGTAGAAAATTGGCAATTTCGTTTTCATGAGCAGAGCGCGGGAAATCAATTTCATTCGATTAATAAAGGCTTCTGCTAAACCCATTTTGAGTATGGACATAAGGAACTTCTGGTCCTTATTTAATAGTCTGTAAACTGAGACTCTTATGGCTTTTATTACAATTAAGTTAAGGCACTGCGGCACTTCAAACTTACGGTACTCATCTAGGAACTTCATGTCCTGATCTTCAGGATCAAGGGACTTCATTGCCAGATCCTTTTGTATGATGGAACTTCGGGTCCAATCATTTTATATGATGAGGATTCAAGAAAACTGCAGGTTCTGATCTGATCAAGGAACTTCAGGTCCTGTATATACTCATAGTAACAAAAGATAAGTACAATAAATAAATTAAAGCAATAGACGGTAATTCCAGCCATAATGAATAAATTGCATTTAAGTAAATAAAGCTTGTGACAAGGGCTTTAATTCAGCACCATCAAAACTTAAAGCAATAGGCGGTAAAACCGTCCATGGTAAATAAATTGCTTTAAAGTAAATAAAGCATGTGACAAGGGCTTTGATTCAGCACCATTCACATAAATATCAAAGCTTTAAAGCAAAGGGTAATAATTCTACCCACTATAAATAAATTGCTTTAAATAAATAGAACTTGTGAACATGGGCTTTAAACCAACACCATGCACATAAATATGCCAAAACAGAAAATGCAATGATTAAGTCCTCATGTTTTGCTTTTTCATTTTCTTGGTCTGCCACTTCTTTTGTTTCATCCCTTTTATTTTTATTATTATTTCACAGTTCGAAGTCATTTTGGTTACTCAGTAAATAATAGTAACAATAAGTTCCAATTGGTGTTCCTCTTCCGGTGAGTTTCGAAAAAGTCGAAACGATTCCCATAAGTTTTGGAGTCAAGAGTGTCTGCAACTTATGAGAAGATCAAACCGTTAGATTTAGTTCAAAATTTAGTATGATATGGATAAGAGGATACCAAACAACTTTCGTGAATAAACAATTTCGATTTGAACTACCGAAATGGAGTTTTGGTACTCATAAGGTGGCTGCCCAGTTTTTCTGCGGAAATGGAATTGGGACGGGTTTGGTATTTCAGACATCTGCGACGATCGCACCGTTAACATTTTCTGAAATTTTGATATGTTGTAGATACTGAGCAGACGAACAACTTTCAAGAAGAAAGTATTTCAATCCGAGGTCCGCAAGTTGGAGTTCCGAGGCTATTTACATGGCTGTCAAATTCTCTTACAAATTTGGAGTCTTTTACTCTTTTGCTTCTGCAAAGGATGATATACAGTCATATAACAATATATATAGTTGCTTCAAGAAAATCAATTGTACTGAGATTTGAAGATGAAATGAAATTTTTTTCTTATCTATGAGATTCCAGCTGGAGGAGGTGAACAGGATTTGTGGCGTTGTGCTTTCCACTGACATGAGAGCTTCTCGTGCTGATAACGTGTTGTAAAATCGACGGTGGGTGCAGTGGAATAAATGAAACAAGACACAAAATTTACGAGGTTCCTCTACAGTCAGTGTGACTGGAGTACGTCCTCGGGGCAGCAGTGGTGCTTTCATTATAATTTAGAATAATAGGAGTACAAAGATAACTCTCTCTATTATCTCCTCTCATCTTCCTCTATTCTCTCTCTTCCTCTTCCTTCTCTCTCTTCCTCTTCCTTCCTTCCTCTCTTTCTTTCCCGTGAACCCTTCACATCTATCTATATCTTTTGTTGTGTTTCATAAGGCTTGTTTTTATACAAGTAAATCACATGCTAAATAGTGGAAGGGCAACTTGCCCATTATTTGAGTGGACATCCATTTCTACAACAATGCGAAGTAATATTTACTTTATTTTTCATCTTACATACTTTTGTTCAATTTTTGTTTTTCAGATTAAATAAAATTAAAGAATAATCAAAATAAGAGTGTACATAAATAATTTCATATGTTCATTTGCGAATGAAAATGATTACAATAATGGGGAAGGTAGGGTAAACATGTATCATGACTTAGCGTATGTCCCAGTTTAGGTTTATTACGTCTGCTATTTTATGACAAATTTGTACCGTTGGTGTTTGTGCTGGTGCCAGTACTACTTATTGTGGCTATTTAAAAGATTACTATTTATGCTTGTGTGCAAATTATCTCCAGATTGATGAACTAGTTATACTAAGAAAGTGTATCCAATGTAACAACTCTTATAATTGTTCTTGTTCATTAATAAAAATTATATCGCCTCTTGTAAAAAAACCAAAACGAAGCTTAAAGTAAAGATGATTTGATGCATGGATACCACACATTTTTCCTTTTGCAAGGACACACTCATTATTTATGCCACTCAAGGGGCCAACATCGACAGTACCATTAGTTTCACATATATTTTTATTTCTTGACTGACGTAAATATGTGTTTGTGTGTATTGTTCGAAGAAAGAGTTCACCTAGCTAGCCTACCGATCTACCTACTTTCGTAATGGGCTAATAGCTTGTCAACAACGTGGACGTTACAAATCATATCTTGGTTTGAAAGAAACGCCCATAGATAGAGACTTCACTGCCATATAAAAACGCATGCATCATTAATTTTGGGACTCAATAATGCAATATCAGTCATGAACTGAACATATGGTCGTGCATGGAGCTTAATATGGAAATTTAATTAATGGACTTAATTAACTTTAATGTTCACGATTGAATTTGGTTTCAAATTCGCATTTGAAGGGAATCAAACCTAAAATATTTCACTTATAAGTGAAGAAGAATAACAACTAGAAAGAGATTATTTAACCAGAAAGAATTCAGTTCATATATAGGATACCTATCCAGAAGTTTTCGCAACTCAATCATGTATGATGGAATCATCAAAGATTTGACCATTTCAAACTCTGTCTGTAACTCACTATAGGCTCGAGAAACAAAGAGAAGATGTGTACGAAATGAGATATCAAGCAACAAGAAGAAGGAAAATGATCACTAGACCGTAATACTAAGTGATTACTTCCTATGCCTTTAACCCTAATAATGGGAAAGAGATCATCCCCGGATCTCTTCCTCCTAATTCACCAAATTAGTTGATATGTACCATTGAAATTTGATCAAATGACTACAAACAGATGCCCACTTTAAAACTCGTTCTTCAACTCACTCTGTCTCAATTTTTATCACTACTCTTTCTATAGTCGAATTTAGAATGGGGTGTGATATCTAAACACTTCATTTTACTTCTTATACATCTTTTTTATTTTTGACCGTCAGATCGAATGAACTAAAGAATATCAACGTACATAAATTATCAAGAGATGTGTGAGAAATAAAATAGGATGTGTGTAGAATAAGCATCTCACTCATCAATGGAAGATAGAAAGAAAAAAAACAGAATAAAAAAAGGAGAGAGCTGCCATCACTCACTTCTTGCTTCCCTACCTGAACGTGAGGTCACAAAGATGATATTTCTTAAAACAGTGCTGGGCCACCTAATTGGCAACGTGTGTGGCTAGGATTCGTCAAGTCCCTATCGCCCATTCCAATTACGAGGAACCCGAGGAGCGAGGACGATAGCAACGGCCACGTTTCCCCAACGGCTACTTCCAATGGCGGGATCCAACGGTGGGACACGAACTGGCGGTTGCCGCCTACAGTTAAATATTTTAGTACGTAAAAAATGTAAAATTATTAAATAAAAAAATCAATAATGTAGCCGTTGGGTTGCATTCCTCTATAAAAAGGTGAAGGGAAGGGGGGTAGAGAGCCAATTCAAGATTCCTCAAGGTAATGCAAAGTATACAAAAAATCCAATCAACTCAATCCTTTGAGATATCTAATTATAATTTCTATGTTAAGATAATTCCTAGCTCTAACTTAATTCGAAGTTTTCTTCGTCTCTATTAGACGTCTTAATTTCTTATATTTGATCTACTTATCTCAACTTGACACGAATTCACTTTGATATTTTTATGATCTAAACTTTTTCTTGATTCAAATCTCGTGTAAATTTTTGTCACCAAATCTCTACAGAAAATCTTGCGTATATTAATCAAAGATTTTCTTAGTGCCGTAATTTGTTTATTTTGTTATATTTACACATCAAAATTCAGAAAAACTGCAATTTTCGGCTATGGAAACTGTTGTTGTAGAGCAACCAATCTCTGCCTGCAAGCAGATGAAAATGGTGAGAAGAAGCTCTGAAAATCTTGCTCCCATAAATTACAACTTCCAAGGAGGTCTCCTCCAAGCTCCTCCACCTTCTCTCTCTCTCTTCAACCACTACCGCTACCAACATCTTCAACAGGCGCAGAGGCAGCAGCATCAAAATCCGCCTCTCCTTCCTCTGCCGGTTCCCAACAGACCTCCTTATCACCACCAGTCTCTGCCGTCTCTTCCATCGCGTACTCGCAGCGCCTCCCGCCCTCCCGCCGCCAGGAAGACCAACAACATGATCACCAGAAGCCAATCTCTCACCCCGAAAAAGCCGAAATCTAAGCCCTCCAAGAAAGAAGAAGCTAATAAGCAGGACTTCAAAGCGATATCTGAGTGTTTGATCGCTTCCACCAACCGTTTGGGTCCCGATCCGAATGATCTTCCCATAGATGTTACTAGGGTTTTCTCATCGTCCATTGGTAAGAGTCTCGGTGGCGGTGGCGGTGTGGGTGATATGGAGAAGTTTTCAGGTTCCATTTTCACTCTCTCACCACCTCCGAGTAGCCTGCCCCTGCCAAGGTTTTCTCTGCAGCCAAGGCTTGGTTGCAACGCCGAGGCTGCAGCAGGGGTCGACGCCGGAGCAACCGACAACCTCTGCCGTCTGTTACGTCTCCGATGAATGGTTGGGTGGTTGTCTTAGTAGTTGGTGATCATGGTTTGGTTTGTAGGTGTCAGTTGTGTAAATAAAGGCAAGTGAGAGGGTTAATTCGTGATGATAAATTAATCATGTAATCCCTCTCCTCACTTCTCCTTGAGGAAATTTGTGATCGCCACCTGTGTTTTTTATTGGGGTGCACAAAAAAAATACCAAAGGATGTTTTTCTTTTTCTTTTCAAATTTGTTTTTCCTTTTGTTGGTCTCCAAATAATAATGATATGAATGTTTTCTGACTTAAATAGAGAGTTTCAAGTTTTTAATTGGGGAATTGGTCAAAGTGTGTTTTTCACAGTGTTCTAAAAATCGGTTTAGGCGGCCGCCTAGGTGTTAGACGATAAAGGCCCGTTTCGATTTTAGGCAAATCGTTTCAAAAAATCGGTCTGCAGCTAAGTGGTCCTAAGCGAATTTTATGTATATATATATATATATTTTTTTTTTTTTGATGTAGCTAATTTGTAAATAATGGATTTACTGCAAGTTTATCCAATAGTGAAACGAATTTGAGCATTTTTGATACATACAAAGAAAAGAAATAAACTAGATACAACAAAGTTAAATAATTTAGTATATGTCCAATCCAATGCAAGGATTATGATTCAAGAACAAGAAGAATTTAGTCTGTCATCCAAATCCTCCTCATTATGATTATATGCTTCTTGTTTTTTAAATATTGAATTTTTTGGATGTATATAATTTGTGTATTTTTCTACTTCTATTTTGCATTTTATACAAGTATAGTTTTTTTTTATTTTTTATTTTTTTTCAGGTGTAAATAGGTTAGTTATTTACAAGATATATAATAAATTTACATAAATCTGCCCACCTAGCCGCCTAGGCACTAGGCCCCTACCCACCGCCCGACTAGCACCTAACGATTTTTAGGACGTTGGTTTTTCAAATCCTAGTTATTGAAATTATCCGTTTTTGAGTACGTTACCAACATCTATTTGCTACTTTGTCAGTCTTTAAATGTTATACAGTCGATATTTGAGCAACATACCATCGATATGTAAAGTTTTGATCACTTGAGGTTTTATTCCGATCGTTCTAGCCATGTTCCCAAGGACATATACAAAACTCTAGCAGCACATATTTCATTTCGGCACAATCATATTCCCCTTTAATATGGCGGAAGCAAAACCACAGAATCATAAATCTTATAGCTGACAAATCTGTGTTGGTGAAAAAACACGTTCGGTATGACTTCAAACCTTGATCTCATATCTGTTAAATCTTAAATATACACTCAATACAAGGCATAAATCTTTAGAGTTGTTAGGAACATGTCCCATAATCTCTTCCAATCTCCGGTATATATCAATTCTCAGTAAATTGGTGCTGGCAATTGGTGCACACATAGAAAGTAGTGGCCCCTTCATCTGCCGACCTCATCTAGACCCGTATCAAAGAAAGAAGGCAAGGCAGCATAAAAGATAATTAGACGACTCGAAAAAGAAAGAAGAAAAGATACTTAGATGATTGAGCGATTCTAGCATACCTGTCGGGAGTAATATGTATGCTCATTGTGGCCGCATTTTTCACACGTTTTAGCATCTGTCTGTTTACCAGAGAAAAATATCATCAGAAAAATTGAAAGCACATTCCTCCCAAACAAATACCACTGCTTTAAATGAAAACTGAAAAGCACAGCTACCTTTTGCAATTGCACCTTCTCTTCTGGAATTATTGATATGCCTAGATCTCTTCTAATATCCTGCAACAGGGACACACAGAGTAATAACTTGTTGCTGTGATGCGGAAAGAGATGTAAAATTCGACGCTATTTGATTTGTGTCAACTGACTAATTTCAATTTAATACTACAATCAGATCCAACATTTTGAGTGTATTATCTTTAACTAAACTCACTGCTTACGTATATTTTCGAATATTGTAAAAGGGGCATGAGAAAATATCGTCGTACTCAGTGCACAAGGCTCCCGCTTTACGCAGGGTATGGGAGAGGTGAATGTCGGCAAATCATAGTACATGTGCGAACCACGACAACTCAATTTAGTGTGCACACATAAAGTACACACAGACGATGGCTAGAATGATTATCCACAGCAGTGACTTTGTAAGATATTTCTCTTCCGGATATCTCTGAAGACAATTAAAATCATATTAGGTACAAAACTAAGAAAGGAAAAATATTTAAGTTAAACCTACAAAAATATTACGTATATGCCACAGAAAAATATAAAGCCCGAGACATGCCATGATTTAAGTTGATAAATTCTATAGCAGTTAGAATATAAAACACTTCCAAAGGTAAACTCTTTTCGAAATTGAGTATATACAACTAAAATACGGTATGAATTCATCCACAAAACAATTTTGAAACTAGAAAACAGATTAAAGATGCATAAGTTAACACAAATGGCCGAAAGCTTAAGTTTGCTCTACCTTTCACATTTCGCTGGAACTTGCAGAGAGGGCATTGAGCATACTTATTTGAATTCAAATTTAGCAAACTCCCACACAAGTCGCAGAACAAGAAATTGCGGCCTTGAGAGTATGCCATGAAATGCTTCTCCGATGCACCGTCAGATATCGTTGTTGCACCTGCAGTTGGAGCTTTACGCATTAACAAAGTCAAACCCAAAACATGTCTTGAGCTCAGTTGAGCATTTCATCAAACAGCTGCCATGCAAGCTAATAATTTTGTCCAAAAAATCAAACTGGTATCTTAATTCATACTAATACAAACCCAACAGCGAATTCAAGAAACAAACTAGAAGCAACTACTGAAAAGACCGATGCATTATACAAACACAATTACTCAGAGGAATAAGTTAAAGAAGAAATTGAAGTTCAAATTAAGAATTTACATACGAGCAATCGTCGTGAGGAGAGTTGGCGACGGAAATGCCGCAGTGATAAAACCCTAATTCACAAATCCCAGTGTCTGCTAAATCTTAAACCCTAATTCCCAAATCTCTCTATTAATTTTTGAGAGTTTTAACAAAATATTATCGGTATTGTTCACTTTTAACGAAAGTCACATTTTTACCTTTAACTGCCACTATTCATTATACTTTTTAAAAATATTTTTTATTAAAAAGTAATGTTTTTTTAAATTTTTCATTAGTTTTCTTTAATTTTATAGAAATTTGGACTCGGCTGGTTTAGTTTCTAGGCTGTACGGGTTTCTAGTAACTGTCAGTTCTGGGCTTGGAAGTAGTTTATAAAGGCCCAAAACTCTCTATATTCCGGCCCTTTTAGCTTTTTTATTTTTGCTTTGACTTTTAGGAATTTCGTTGAATTTTTTTTACATGTATTATTATTAGTAGGGGGAGAGAATTCAAATATATTACAAAGATTTATGGAATAGAAGAGGTCGGATTGTAGCTCTCTAATAAAGAAAAAATGTGGGAGGTTTTAGATTCGATACTCCGAGTTTATGAGTTTGCTTGACTGTGACTACTGGTAAGGTGAAATTCACTATAGCCATTATGGATAATCGTGAATTGCCACCAGTTGTCCTCATTTTTTAAAGAAAGAAAAATAAATAAAAAGAATTTGAATCTGGAATGTATGGATTGAAATTTATTGTGCTAAAATTCATTTATAAGAATTTAGAATTGTTATTCTTCGTAACACAACCACACATTATATTGTAGGTAGAAATTTTATTTTCGTTCCATATATTTTATTTTCAAATTTTGATACGTAAGTTGTAGCTAACTTTCAGATCCAAGCTCCGTCACATTGTACAAATAAAAATAGAAAAAGCTTGAAAATATATATGTGTAGTTGTGAATGTCATCGTTATGGTAAATGAGTACCACATGGTATTAATGTAGTAAGATGATGCGACTAAAGTGCAACCACCACTTCCACTTCAGTATAGTTTATACTTTTGTACTTGTAATTTTTTTTCTTCCTTTTCGAGGCAGTTCAATAAACTGTATGCATATATACGTATTTGGAAATTCTGATCACAGCACGGTGGTCCATAGGCTTGAAAAATGTAGAGATTTTTCAATGTACGCGAAACACAAACATATACATTATATGTCATTAATAAAAAGACACTTAAAATATAATAACATTGGTTCTGATCATAGTAAAATATCTCTTTGAAAAATGATCCACGCTCGGGCCCCAAGTAACTAATTTTCAACTTGTTGAGTTAATTGCTTTGTTATCCAACAGCTCAATTGAAAGCTATAGAACGGCAATTATGTTTTGGGTAGATTACAGTTAGAGAGCCGAGTAGTTGGTTGAAATGCCAACTAGTTATACAGCGTCTGCATTAATTGGCGGGAAATAAACACTTCTCTCCCTCACTTCTGTGAGAAAACAACTTCACTTTGTCTGTCGGCATTATGGAGGAAGTAGAGCTTGCCTCCGACAAGTTTTCTGACGGAAACCCGCTTCCGAAAATGGACAAACCAACGAACTCGACCAAGCAGCGCAGCGTGTCGTTCCTCGGACTTTTTGCTGCTGCTGACAAGGTGGACTGCGTGTTGATGTTTTTGGGAAGTGTTGGGGCTTGTATCCATGGTGGTGTGCTTCCTGTGTTCTTTGTTTTATTCGGTCGCATGATCGATTCGTTAGGACATCTGGCGATGAATCCACAACAACTGTCTGCCCGGATTTCCGAGGTAAGATCAAACGTTTCGGAATACCTTTTCGCTATCCTTTCGTGCGATGATGTCCTGTTTCGATATATGTATGTGAGTTTTCCCTTTTTCTTTTATTTGCAGTATGCTTTGTACTTGGTATATCTTGGACTCGTTCTTTTCGCATCAGCATGGATTGGTACGTTTTGTAAATTACACTCGTCAAATTAGTTATACGAGCATTAGTATCAGCAGACCTGAACGTAGCCAAGTTGGTTAAGTATAAGTATCCTTGCCGACGCTTTAATTTCAGGTGTAGCATTCTGGACGCGAACCGGGGAGAGGCAGACAGCTCGTTTGCGGATGAAGTATCTCCAATCAGTTCTAAACAAGGACATTAATTTTTTCGACACTGAAGCCAGAGACACCAACATTATTTTCCACATTTCAAGTGATGCAATTCTAGTGCAAGATGCGATAGGTGACAAGGTAATTCGCAACCAAAACTGTTGTGAAATCTCTCGAAGAAGGTCCTTAAGAGTAACACAATTAACATTGTTCCTTGTATCTTCTGAATGCAGACTGGCCATGCTTTGCGCTACCTTTCACAGTTCCTTGTTGGATTTGCGATCGGTTTTACATCGGTATGGCAGCTTACGCTTCTGACCTTGGCTGTGGTTCCATTCATAGCTATTGCAGGTGGAGCTTATACTATAATCATGTCTACCTTATCCGAAAAGGGTGAGGCTGCTTACGCAGAAGCCGGCAAGGTTGCTGAAGAGGTAAACTACTGTCCTAGGCATTTCTCGATATCTTACTCATCTTGCCGCATATGTAGCCTATTTTCATCACACATGTTGCATACACCAGGTTATTTCGCAGATTCGTACAGTGTACTCATTCGGGGGAGAGGACAGAGCCATTGAAGCATACTCAACCTCACTGAACAAGGCCCTCAAGCTGGGAAAGAAGACCGGTGTTGCGAAAGGAGTTGGTGTAGGGTTTACATACGGGCTGTTGTTCTGCGCTTGGGCATTGCTTCTCTGGTATGCCAGCATACTTGTAAGGCATCATGACACGAACGGGGGGAAAGCATTCACAACAATCATCAACGTCATCTTCAGCGGATTGTAAGTCCACTCCAAATTATGTGTGCATTTACTATTTCCAGTTTCGTGATTAAAGCAGACCTTTTTCTTATTTAGTGCTCTTGGCCAAGCTGCTCCAAACCTTGGTGCAATTGCAAAAGGGAGAGCTGCTGCTGCTAATATCATGACGATGATCGATTCGGATTCCAAATCCTGTAAGGTCACGGACAACGGAATAGTGTTGCCGAAAGTGTCTGGGCAGATTGACTTCTGTGAGGTTGGTTTCACCTATCCATCACGATCAAATATGGTGTTCGATAACTTGAGCTTTTCGATTGGAGCTGGAAAGACTTTTGCAGTTGTTGGCCCTAGTGGTTCAGGAAAGAGCACCGTTATATCCATGATTCAGCGATTCTACCACCCCGTTTCAGGTATTCTGGTCCTGTCTAATAACCATTTCGTTTCTTGTTTTGAGGTCTAAATCATGAACCAATTTTTGCAAGGTAAAATACTGTTGGATGGACATGAACTTGGAACTCTCCAACTGAAATGGTTGCGAGAACAGATGGGATTGGTAAGTCAAGAACCGGCATTGTTCGCGACTACTATAGCCAGCAATATTTTGTTCGGTAAAGAAGACGCAGACCTGGATCAGATCATGGAAGCTGCTAAAGCTGCAAATGCACATTCTTTCATTGAAGGATTGCCTGATGGCTACAACACTCAGGCAGGAGAGGGAGGAACTCAGCTTTCCGGAGGGCAAAAGCAACGAATAGCCATTGCAAGAGCAGTGCTGCGAAACCCGAAAATACTACTCTTAGATGAGGCCACAAGCGCTCTTGATGCAGAATCAGAACTAGTTGTTCAGCAGGCACTAGAGAAAATCATGTTGCATCGAACTACAGTAATCGTTGCTCATCGATTGTCCACTATCCAAGATGTGGACACAATCGTTGTCTTGAAGAACGGTCAGGTTGCTGAGAGTGGTAACCATTCGGACCTGATGTCCAAGAAAGGGGAGTATGCAAATCTGGTGAGCATGCAGGTACTGGAACGGGGTAAAGATTCTGGCTTAGTATCTGGACATTCTTCGAGAGAATCCAGCTTTCGTGGAACCACAAATAACTATCCGCAGGAGGACAAGGCAATCAGTACAAAACAGCAGAAGCCAAGCGATCAGACCAGCTCTGCTGCTGCACCAGTATGGGAATTAGTGAAACTAAATGCGCCCGAGTGGCCTTACGCAATACTGGGGTCAGTCGGTGCAGTTCTCGCTGGCATGGAAGCTCCTCTTTTCTCGCTCGGGATAACTCATATATTGACAGTGTTTTACGCTCCTGGCGGCTCTCAAATCAAACATGTTGTTGATAGGATAGCTCTCATATTTGTTGGCTTGGCTGCTGTCACTGTCCCAATATATCTCCTGCAGCACTACTTTTATACATTGATGGGGGAGCGGCTCACAACTCGCGTTCGTTTATTAATGTTCAAAGGTTCTTCTCGACCTCAAAGATTGAACCATATTTTTATTTCTCATATAATGCACATTACGAAATCCATCAAAACTGAGAACGGCGTTCTTGTTTTTGACTGCAGCCATCCTTTCGAATGAAGTTGGTTGGTTCGATTTGGAAGAGAATAACACCGGATCACTGACATCAACTTTAGCAGCAAATGCAACGTTGGTGCGAAGCGCTCTAGCTGACCGTCTGTCAACAATCGTGCAGAATCTCTCCCTCACGGTGACTGCTTTTGTTATTGCCTTCACGTTTAGTTGGCGTATGGCAGCTGTCGTGAGTGCCTCCCTTCCCCTACTTATTGGAGCTTCCATAACTGAGGTCAGAATAAAAAATACCACCCTTCTGTTAAAAGCTGTATTAAACTAAACATGGTAAATACCAATATTAAACTAAACATGATAAATACTAAAAATATATATGACAATATTTGAGAATTTCTTATATATTCATTAATCTCCAAAGTGGAGTATATATAAGAGTTACAATTTATATTACATATGTATTTCATCAACGTGAGACAATAAACTACTATTTACACTTTAACTAATATATAACTCGCAACACTCCCCCTCAAGTTGGTGCAAAGATTTCACGCATGCCCAACTTGTCAAGCGAGTCGGAAAACACACTATTAGACACAGCCTTAGTAAGAGCATCAGCAAGTTGATTTTCAGATCTCACAAACGGAAACATAATAATTCCAGCATCTAATTTTTCCTTAATGAAATGTCGATCAATCTCCACATGTTTTGTTCGATCATGTTGCACTTAAAACTTCATTATAATCTCCACATGTTTTGTCATCCACTTTAGCACTTAAAACTTGATGA